ATTACGAAAAAAGAGAAAACAACCAATTGTTTTACATTTATTTCAATGATATCGCCGACATCTGCCAGCCAGGTGTATTGGCACACCTGCGTTTGTGAGCACCTGCCTATATCTCTACAATCCCCTGGGATATTCATAAAGTCCATAGCACGGTATCTGTCGAAACGGCTGTCGTTGTGATGTTAGGTAAGTCACCTATACGAATTTTTTTAGTCAACTGGTCTCAAGAGGTATTATGAAACACTTCAACCAAATAACATAACAAGCTCACTGTGGATTGGTTCTAGATTACAGTTTTACACACACACACACACACACACACACACACACACACACACATATATATATAGGACGCGCATATATATACATACATACATATATATATATATATATATATATATATATATATATATATATATATATATATATACATATACACGTGTATACACACACACACACACACACACATACATGTATATATATATATATATATATATATATATATATATATATATATATATATATGTATGTATATATATATATATACATATACACGTGTATATATATATATATATATATATATATATATATATATATATATATACATAAATATGTATATATGTATACACACACACACACACACACACACACACACACACACATATATATATATATATATATATATATATATATATATATATATATATATATATACATATACACGTATATATATATATATATATATATATATATATATATATATATATATATATACATATATATATATATATATATATATATATATATATATATATATATATATGTATTACTCTGTTGGTAACACAAGGCCAAACAAATAAATTTCATGTTTAGTTATATAGAAAATATAGGCGTCTATGTACTGTCACGATCCATAGTTTCTGACCCCCTCCCCCCACCTCTCGCACCTGTCTGGGTTACATGAGGCAGGAAAGTTGATGAATTTGCCACCAAATTACCTTGTATATATGGCTTCATGACAATTTTTACCAAAGATTAGTGTCGCATTGTAGTATAATCATAGTTAAAGCAATTACCAATTGAGTTAAACTTTAATTAACAGATAAAGAGGATTTATTTCATGATTGTTCTACGGCTTTCATTTTGTCCCCTAGAATGTAAATAATGTCTGAAGGAAGTTTCGTGTCTTTAGCTTGTTGGCGTGAGTGTGTTTTTGCATTCCTTGATCAAATGAATATTTGTTTGGATAATCTATAACATTTTAGTGAGGTATCATTGTTAGTTGCAATATACATTACTTATTTCTACAGTACAACTGTACCTAACATGATATAATAATCACCGTTTAGACAATCAAGTAAAAAGCTCCCTAGTAATTTTACTACAGTGTTTTGTTTTAGCATTATCTTTCCCTCTCTAGCTAGGGCGAAAGACCAACACAGCAATGCCGTTCTAGGAGGGTATTTTCATCTCGGTTCTCTTCACAGCTGGAGAAGTATTTCGCTCTGTAACGGGATCCTTGGACAGAATAGACTAGCGTGACAGCCCGACTAGACTGTCTTGACCAAGGCCGCACCCGGGAATAGTTATCAGGTGTTATAAAAATAATAATTTTTAAAAAAGAAAATCTAATGCAAGTCTCCTTAGTGCATTTGAAAAACAGTGAATGTTCTGTAAAGCTACAACCATTTTTTTGGTTTTATTATAATTATTACAGAGTAGTTCACATCTTAAAGGAAGGAAATACTCCCGCTCCCTTGTGCCCAGGGGCTGTCCAGGGATATCCTAGGCAACCTGGGAGGGTGGTAGTTCGGGATGGCTGACCTATAGTTACCACCATTACCGCAAATTGTGCGAATGTGATGAGTCTAGACTTCAAATTAAGATGTCCGTAACTTATTTTTAGGCATAACATCTACAGTTCAGTTAACTTTTACAAATCTAATACTTGCATTACCATTTTGCTTAAATTCTTACATCATGATAAACAGGTAATTATTAATTACTTATTCCAGTCAATGCCGAAATCATGGCTCTAGCGTCGCATTCATCTCATTTTCTTCAGGTGAAACTTTAAGCGACAGTTCCTTGCTTTGTACAATTATTACCATAAAAAGGAAGTTTTGATATGTGTCGCTCTATTTATTTATTTTTTATAATCCAGTTCCTCAAATACCTAATGCATAATATCCCGTTGTTTAATTCTAACAAGAGCATGATGTTTATAGACTTAGTCGTGATTCAGTTAATAACCGCTTCAGTTTACAATCATTTGCTGTAGTTACCCCATTAATTTACACATTTTCTATCACGTAAATTGTAAACATAAAAAATGTATCAATTTTATTGGTAAACTGAAAAAAATGCAACTCGAATATTCATCTTAAAAAAACAAACAAAACAGAAATAACAACTTTTAAAGAACTCAAATTTATCGGCAATAATATACATTCATTCCAACACACGCGACAACTGATAAAAAAAAAAATCTTCCACGCAG